CCTGCTGTATCTCACAGTTGTATTTCAAGTGAATGAGAATGCTAACGAATTAAGTTTCCTTTCATTAGCTTTCTGATCATAGGATTGAAAGTTTAAAAAATGAGGCCAAGATATCTGAGAAGTAGCCCTTCCTGAGACAGTCTTCCTAAAAAGCTAAAATTGGCATAAGAATTGATATTCCTAAAGAAAGTCTAGGACTGGCAGTCTTTTGACAGTACTGATCTCAGTAGGCGTTCTTAGTACTTCAAAAGGATATCAATATTAAACCTTGCTAACAAAGTAATCTTGGTAACAAGAAAGTAAACATAAGCTTAGTTTATTGTTCTAAGAGGCTTGAATACATTTTAAAAATACTAAACCAACTTAAGAAGAGATTTAAAGAACAGTGGATTATAAATTACAAGGCCTAGGCAGAAATCCTTCCCCTATCACTTATAAGCTACATCTTCTTAGGCCAATCTCAAGCAACATATTAATTATCTCATCTGCAAAATATTAATATTAGATGTTAGTATTTGGCTTGCCTATATCATATGGTTATTGTGATACTCAAGCAAGATAAAACTCATGAAAGAGCTTCAAATAAAATTCTGACACAAACAACATTTATATTACCAATATAGTTGTTCTAAGTTTGGTCCCTGGGGTGGGACGAGCTTGAGTTTGAATCTTGACTTTATCACTTTGGGCAAGTTACTTATTCTCTTTAAGTCTTGAGTTCCTCATCTGTAAAAATGGATTAATAATGCTGAAGTGAGGATTACAGATAAACAACCAGTACTTCCTTAGCACAGTACTTGGTTCAGGGTGAGAGCTCAATAAACATTAGCTGCCTTTAGAAAGGAAAGTCTGCTCTCATTTCCTAAGGATGTTTCAACTTCCCAATTTCTGAACTTCATTCTAAGAAACTTAAGGGGTCAAATTCTTTTAGGAACCGACAGCTCTAATCAAGGCAAAGACAAAAACTGGTCTTGAGAATAAGCAAATAAGTACAAATGTAACTCATAAATGTGTGCTTCAGATGTTAGGTATTAAATTATGTCTATAACCTTCCCTGTTTCAGTGAATAAATCCCACTATCAGTCGATCTGAGTAGTTGAGATAAAACTTCTTTGAATCTTAGCCACCGCCTTAAAATTCCTATTTTAATATAGCTCAACAGTAAAGGTATGTATGTGTGTGTAAACATAAACACATACACCACACACACACAGAGATACACATACACACACACCCCACATACAAGTTTAGAAAAAGTTCTGGTTGCCTGGGCAACTTCACCTTCTTAGTCATTATGTGTGCAGCAAGCAGGAGAGATCCGCCTTGAAAAGCAGTTGAGAATCTTTCCGATTTATAAAGAAAATTCTAGGAATTGAATATCTACATGGCTATAATCCCCTTCCTACTTGAGCATGTAGACAAAAGGGTGAAGGGAAAACAGAAGTAAAGAGAGACCTGTCTCATGCAGTGAACAGTCATCCCTCTAATAAGATAAATAAATATAAATAAAAAGACTACTTGAATAGATCTGAGGTAGAAACAAAGCTGCTGAGAAGGGCCTCTATGATGCCAGCCCAGTTCCCCAAAAGATTGAGAGCACATTAGAACGAAGTGCTCTTATCATCTCTGGTGATAAAATTAGTTAGATTAAGCAGTTAAGAACTGGTAAAAACGGCACCTAACCCTATGTAAGTGCTCATATTTATTCTATATTATTTGTGTACTTTCTTTTAATTGTAGTACTTATTACTGTTGGATATTTGTTTTTTTAAATGAAGACTCCTCTTTTTGTCATTAAAAAAAATTGACGAATAGTAAAGCATGCCAACAGCCTTCAGTTAACTAGACCTCCAGCTGAAAGTCATCAGAGGTCAGCACACCCTTCCTGCAGACACAGAACCCAGAAAAACACACAATAGCCTCTTGAGCACTAAATTCATAAAACCCAAATATAAAAGTAACATCATTCTCTACATACAAGCCTATAAATTATGTCCTCAATCCACAGGATTGGATGACATTTTATCCCAAATGTCAACATCTTGCAATAGCACATAGGTAGTCATTACCTTAGTAGCCCTCGAGGCACATGCAAGCATTCAGTGACATTAAAAACTGTGTTGGTTTTACAGTGGCAATAAAATGAGAATGTGGCCTTTTAAATTACATATCCCTGTACAGTCTATTTGTTCTCACCTCATGGCTTGGCATCCTGTTAATGAGATAAGCAGGGGGTGTCCCCGTCAGACGCATAATCTGCTGAAGCTGGTTAATATCTTAGATGCCTAGTCAAGGGCATTGTTAAACATACAGTGCAAAAAATAACTTTTAACTCAAGTTTAAAAAGGCCAAAAGCCACCCCCAAACAAACAGAAAACCTATTCCTCACC